TTATCATTCGGATCTAGTCTGTGTCCATCCAGTGTTCTTCTATTGTGCAGGTCCGGTTCAGTGGTTCGGAGGTGATTCTGTGGGAACCTGAGATTGAAGCAAATGGATGAGGAACTGGAAGAGGTATTGGAGGAAGTTTCGGTTATCCGTAAAGGAAGCAAGGGGAGTACAAATAGGAGGAGAGGATGTTCTTCAGAGCATTGAGGAATGCAAACGAAGTATTATTGGTAAGGTTTTGGGGACAAGGTAGCTAATACAGCTGGGATTAGAAGTTTAGCTAGTAATATATGGGTTTTTGCAAAAAATCTGAGGGTGGTGGAAATTGGAATTAATAAGTTTCAGTTTATTTTTGATACAATGCATGATAAGGAGAAAGTCCTGGGAGGAAGGCCATGGATATATGATAACCAACCTCTGATAGTATTACCAGAAGGAATTGAAGGGGATGTGAAGGTGTTTACAAAAACATGGATATGGATGCAGATCTGGAATTTACCTATACACTGGATAACTATGGAAGCGGGGAAGAAAATTGGGGGAATATGTGGAGATGTCAAAGAAGTTATAGTTCCTAATGGGGGAGGGAAAGAAGGAAAACATTTAAAGGTTCTTGTTGAAATTGATCTGACTTAGCCTCTGCTAAGAGGAACCACAGTGAAAATGAATGGAATTATCAAATGGATAGATTTTAAGTATGAAAAGTGCCCAGACTTCTGTTATTACTGTGGGCTTATAGGGCATAATGAGAAGAACTGTAAAGACAAAGGCATGTATTTGAATAAAGAACCTTAGTATGGGGTATAGCTTAAAGCTAGTGGACCTAAAAGTCCCAGTAAGAGACAAACATCAACAGAGCAGCAAGCAAGAATGAGGAAGGAGGATAAGACGGATCAGTTTGAGAGTAGGGGGAAGGGTCAGTACTTGCTGACTTGGGGGTCCACAGGAGAAAAGTATAACTTGGGGAGGGAAGGAGCTGGGTGAATGTTCTGAAGGAAATAGGGGAAGAAATGGAGATAAGGAGGGAAGAGGAGAAGGATTAATGCAGAGGGAAGGACAGGGCAAGGAGGCCGAAAGTATGGAGGATAGTACAGAACAAAGTATAGAAATTATAGGGACTATGGAAGATGATAAGGGAAGAGGGGGTAACAAGGAGGATAAGGACCAGGAAGGAGTAGAAATGCCACAGAATGTTATTAGTGAAGAGCAAGATATACTGTGGATTGATGGGTGTATGAAAGGAGAGGATTCACAAGAAAGGAAAGGGTATCAGGTTAGCAAAGGAGCTAATGGCAGTGATGCAGGAATGAGAAGAGGAAAGGAAAAAAATAGCGGCAAATATAAAGGAACCAAAACATGGAAAAGATTGGTCCAGGAAGTAGGGAAACGAAAGCCACTCACTGAAAGCAGTGAGATCACAAAAATGGAAGTGGATAATGGGAAAAGGAAAAATATGTGTGTGGACATGGAGGGAGAATGTATAGAAGGTGGAAATGGTGTGCACAAGAAATACAGGAAACTCGTGCTAGGATGTGAAGGAAATGAGCTGGTGTAGGTGGGGAACCCTAACCTAAATGGGGCTCCACAGTACCCACGAGAGTTCTGGTGTGGAACTATCGAGGTGCGAGGAGACCCTTGACAGTTTCCCAGATTGAGGAGGTGAACAGACTCCACTTCCCAGAAATTATATTCCTAGCTGAAACTAAAAATAAGAAGTGCTATATGAATAAAATAAAAATGAGGCTTAAGTTTGATAGTTTGTTTATGGTAGACCCGGTAGGGAAATCTGGGGGCTTGGCTGTAATGTGTAGAAAAAATGTTCAGATCAAGAAAGTGTTGTATACGGATTTCACTATAGAACTATGCATTGAAGACCTGAGTAAAAAGATCTCTTGGTGGCTGGTTTGCATATATGCTAGTGTGAATGATGCTATCAGGGAAAAGCAGTGGAAAACTATTGAGAACAGGAAAGTTTTATGGGGAACTAGATGGCTGCTTGCTGGGGACATGAATGACATCTTAAGTAATGATGAAAAGTGAGGGGGGACTGAAGAGACCTGAGAGGAGTTTCAAATAGTTTAGAGAATTTATTAGGACAAATGAGTTAATAGATATTAGGTTTGAAAGTAAACCGTGGACCTGGAGTAACAATTGGGAAAAGGAGGGAGAAGTGAAAGAAAGGTTAGACAGAATGCTAGGTAGCAGGGCTTGGAGGAAAAATTTTGGGAAGGCTAAATGCTGCCATATACACAATGAGGCTTATGATCATTGTATGTTGTTGTTACACACTGAACCAACAGGAATAAAATGGAAAAGAAGATTCTGTTTTGACAGGAGATGGTTGCAATATCAAGAGGTGAATGCGGTTGTTAAAAGGGCTTGGGAAAAGGAGCAGGTGGGATCAAGGTTCTTTCAGTTGAAAAACATAATAAAAGAGTGTAGAGTAGCACTGTTGGGTTGGAACAGGAATTTGAAGAACAATGCTAGAAAAGCTATAGACAAGATAAAGAAAGAGATTCAAGAGATAAGAGAGAGTACTGTGCAGGAGAGGAAAAAAGGAATCTGTGAGTTAAAGAGAAAGCTGGCTGAAGCATATAAAAAAGAGGAACTATTTTGGGGGCAAAAGGCTAGGGTCAATTGGTTGAGAGAGGGAGATAAGAATACTAGTTTTTTTCATGCAGCAGTGGAAGGAAGAAGAAAGAGAAACACCATTACAACATTGTAGAAAGAAAATGGAGGTTGGTGTGAAAATGAGGAGGAAGTGTTGGGAGAGATTACTAGGTATTTTGGGAACCTCTTTACCTCATCCAATCCTGAGGAATTTGCATCAATCCTGCAGTGTATCCCACAGGTCATTACTGACCAAATGAACTCACAACTCATCAGGCCAATAATAGAGATGGAGGTCAAAAAAGCAGTCTTTTCTTTGCATCCAAACAAAGCTCCGGGTCCTGATGGTATGAGTCCTGTTTTCTTTCAAAAATTTTGGAACATAGTTAAAAAAGATATGATTGCTGCTATTTCCAGTTTTTTCCATTCTGGTAATCTACTCAAAGCCATAAATGAAACAAGTATCATTCTGATTCCAAAAGTTGATTCTCCTACTTTAGTTTCTCATTTCAGACCATCAGTTTGTGTAATGTGGTCTGTAGAGTCATCTCCAAGCTTCTTGCCAATAGGGTTAAGTCTTTCTTGAATTGTTGTGTCAGTTCTAATCAGTCAGCTTTTCTTCCAGGAAGGCATATTATTGATAATATTATGATTGCACATGAATTTATACACTGTTTGAACAATAGGAGAGGAGGTTCAAATGCCTTTATGGCCTTTAAACTGGATATGGCTAAAGCTTATGATAGGATGGAATAGGTTTTCTTGGAAAAGATCATGTACAAAATGGGGTTTTGCTCTACCTGCATCAGTTGGATCCTAAAGTGTATATCCTCTGTGTCTTATAGCTTCAATATCAATGGGGAGAAAAGGGGTTATGTCAGGCCTTATAGAGGACTTAGACAAGGGGATCCACTGTCCCCGTATTTGTTTCTACTGGTTTCTGAGGGTTTATCTAGTTTGCTAAATACAGCCATGAGGGAACACAGGATTTCAGGATTGAAAATTGCTCCTGAAAGCCCTGCTCTCTCACATCTTTTGTTTGCAGATGACACACTGATCTTCTGTGAGCAATGAAAGAAGAAGCAAGTAGAGTGAAACAGCTACTGGAGACATATGGAAAGGCATCTGGATGGTGTATAAACATAGAGAAATCTTCTATGCTATTTAGTAAAAATACTGAAGTGAACAATATTGAGGAGACCCTGCAGGAACTGGGGGGATGAAACAAGTAAGGCGGAGTAAATACTTGGGGCTTCCTATAGTAATTGGGAGGTCTAAGGAACAAGTGTTCAAATATATAAGGGACAAAGTGAATAACAGAATCAATGGATGGAAGGAAAAGTTATTAAGCCAAGCATGTAAAGAGGTTTTGTTGAAAGCAGTGGCCATGGCAATGCCAAACTATGCTATGAATTGTTGCAGGTTACCTATTAGACTGTGTAAAGACATTAGCAGGGATATGGCTAAATTTTGGTGGGGAAGTAAGGAAGATGAAAAAAGAACACATTGGATGGGGTGGCAGAAATTAACTGAGGTGAAGGGTAAGGGAGGATTGGGGTTCAAAGATTTGCCAGAGTTTAACAAAGCCATGTTAGCAAAACAGTTGTGGAGAGTGATAACCAAGCCAAATCTGATGGTTAGTAAGGTTCTGAGAGGGAAATACTTCAAGGGAGAGTCTATATGGAAAATGAAAACTAGAAATTCTGACTCCTGGATGTAGAAGAGTGTGGTTAGTGCAAGGGAAGTGTTGGAGAAAGGGGCTAGGAAAAGAATAGGAGATGGAAATACATTTAATATATGGAAGGATAGATGGCTGTTAGATAAGGATCATGGTAAGATAATAACTGCAAGGCCACCAGAGTGTCAAATACAAATGGTGCAGGAGTTAATACAAAATGGTGAATGCAATAGAGCAATAATGCAGGAAATTTTTAATGCAGAGGATTGTAAAAGGATCCTAGCCACCCCCTTAAGCTTATATGGAGGAAAGGACAAACTCATATGGCCTTATAGCAAGTCTGGAGAGTACTCAGTAAGGTCAGGCTACATGGTGGCAAAGGAACTGCAAAAAGAGAGGAAAGGAGTAGTGGTGCAGCAAGAGAAGAGTAGTAGAAATGAACAGGGAACTGAGGTGTGGAAGTTTTTATAGAGCCTGAACATAAAATATAAACTCAAACATTTTATATGGAAGGGCCTGCAAAATATATTGCCAGTAAATGAGGTGATCAGAAGAAAGATTGGAAGAGGTTCTGAGCTGTGGGGAGCAACCTGAAACTCTAGAACATATGTTCTTCTTTTGTAAACATGCAGAGTTGATTTGGAAAGCTTCACCAATACAGTGGGATGGACTGCTAAAGTTTAGGAAAAGCTTTTGGCTATGGTGGAATAGTTTAATGGTGGCAAAGGAGAGAGATGCAGGAAGGGAACACATTTGTCTCACAGTGAACTTACTATGGCAAATATGGAAGTCTAGAAATCAAGCTCAGTTTAACAGAGAAAAAGCATGCCCAGGGAGAACAGTGATGAAGTTAGTTCATGAATGGAATGAATATGAGGCAGCTCAGCGAGTAGATAGAGAGGATGAGAAGGAGGAAAGGGACCAGCAGGAAGTACCGACAGAGTGGTTGCCTCCAACAAAGGGGTTTGTTAAGCTGAATATAGATGCAGCGTTAAGTACGGCAACAGGGAAAGTAGGGTGGGGAGTGATTGCAAGGCAAGCAGATGGAGGGATCCTGAGAGCTTGGGCTGGCAGTGGAGAAAGATATACTGAAGCCATGGCGGAGGAAGTTAATGCAATTCGAACAGCACTTATTAAAGTTGGAACAATGGGATGGAGAAAGATTGAAATCCAATCAGATTGCAAGGGAGTGGTGGAAAAAATCAAGACAGGTTGTAGGAAGGACCCGAAGATTGGAGCAATCATAGAAGATATCCTTAGGTTGGGAAACCAATTTGCTGAATGTTACTTTTCCTTTGTCAGAAGGGAAGGGAACTGTGTGAGTCATCATTTGGAAAAATTTGCCATTCAAGTGACAATTGATGTAGATTGGGAAGAGTCTTTCCCAGTTTGGTTAGTAAATTTAGCCAAACAAGATGTAAAGCAGTTGCTCAACCTGCAACTTGAGTGTTAATGGAAGCTATTATCGTTTTGGAAAAAAAATAGAAATTTGTTTACTGCGATTCTCAATGTCACTTGAAAGCTGATCAACCTGTCGGCAAATGATACTGGGCTTGTTTGGATTGTAGTTTGTAAACTTTTATTTGCTTGTATCATTAACATATTTTTCAACAACTTTTTATCTTACATCTATCATATCAAAAAAGTGCTACGATATTTCTTTTTTCAAAAAATTATCCCAAATAATCTACTATCATAGCTCAAATTTTACATTCACAACAAATTTGATTAAAATGACAAAACTCCCTCTTTCAAATCCAATTGGCATTTTGGCTTAAGATGGACAAGTTTGAGCAGTTAATACAAAAATAGCTGTGAGAATGAAATTTTGGTTTTAGCATTGGCAGCAACAAACCTGCCCAAATATCAAACGCGAGAGGAAAATAATTTTGATGGCAGATAAATGTTGAAGATATGGAGGTAGACTTTGCAAAAAATAAATATTGTTCCAAATTGCAGTTTTACTTTACTAGGAGTAGGCATAGTATAGCTTTGATTTACCTAGCGAATTTTCATCATTGGAGTAGACCGTATGTAGAACTTGACTATATTCTCCCTTGATCTTTAATTTAACAAGCAGCATTTTCTCATGTACAAGTGTTTTACTTCTCAATGATTCACTAAATTCAAAGCAATAGTAGACTAGATAAATTATTTCCTTTCAAACACAAAATTTTACCATTATCTGCAGAAAAATCCAGTGAACCACTTTGTGGAGGAAGCTGCAGCAATCACAATGGGAATGATGATGGCCAGAGAAGCTCAGTGAAAGGCAGTGGAAATTCAATCTGACTACAAAGCCTTAGTGGACATGATCATGTTGGAAAATGACAAGGAATCCAGAGGAGTTGTTATATTGGATGATATGGGAAAAAGGTTTGTTTGATCAATGTACTTTTTTTTTTCTTAATAGGCTAGGAAACATGTGTATACACAAGCTAGTGAAATTTGCTGTTAGGCTTGTTAGAAATGTAGATTGGAAAGGGCATTCTCTCATGTGGTTCAAAGAGAGTGCGCAAAATGATCACTTGGATAATAACCCTCTTGTAACTGGTATTGTGGTATCAAGTTAGAAATGAAATATGACTTACTTTTCAAAAAAAAAATCCCATTTTATTTTACATAATTTGAACACCCCGCAACGGCTCAAGTACTCTTACTTGAAGCATCCGATCACAAGCAAATCCCCAAATCATCCTTCAACTTATTCACTAATCCAGTTTTAATCCTCCATCTTAAAAATAGGACATTATAGTTCTCCAATAAAATTTTTTTAGTCAATTGGTACCTATGTGGCAGTGCAAATTTCTTGGTAAGGGTGGCAAGCTGTCAAATAACTCCTTCCATCCCCCGTCACTAGCCCTTTTTTCCGTGAGGGAAGAAATCAATCTATCATATTTACGGGACAATTTTATCATTTATTCTATCTCAAAATATTCAACAAAGATATATTCAAATATTCAACCTTAGACCATTCAATGAGTTACAAATACTAATAACTAAAGAAGATTAGCAACATGTTAAAATCATGAAAATGACATTAAAACATCCGACTGAGATGTAATAGGATCAAGTTACAATTGTATGTTCACAATTATGTTATTAATTATATTATTAAATATAAAGAATTTGATTATAACTAAATTATTATATTATGTATATATATGTATTATATATGCCTATAAATTTAAAATATATATATATATATATATATTTTTTTTTTTTTTTTGCGAGAGAGAGAGGGCTGATATATGTTGCGCGATTTTCTCCCTCGCCCCATTTCCACCCCTGCGGGGCAGGTGCCCGAGCCCACCCTTATTTCTTGGTACTTCCACCATCGAGACTTGTTGGAAGGGTATCTTCATTTGTTCATGTCGGTCGACCTCTGACCACACCAAAAAACCAATAAACAACTAAAAGTCACTCCAAAATTGCAAAGAAGATTGAACCCCCTTGTCTTCCAATAAAAAAGGAAAAATTTCCATACGTTAGAACAAGAACAGAGGCAATTCTTCCACTTGTGTCCAGAAATCTCTAGACATCATCAAGTTTCATCATATCCTCATCACAACGAAGAGGAAAAGTCAATAAAACCACCTTAATGGATCCGCACTTTCGGTTGCTGTCTTCACTTCCAATTGGGTTGTATATGATAAGAACTACTTTGGGTCAAGGTCAAAGGTCAAGTTCTGGGTCGATATTTGATGCTATATGCCCTATGAAAATTTTACGGTAAAAATCTTAGGAGTTTTGTTTCCAAAACAAATTGGGCTTTCAGTTTTCAAGGATCTGGGGGCTCGAAGAAAACTTGGTTATGAGGTCTTGAGTCTTTGGCTCTCGATAATAATATCCTTGACATTTTGTTGCAATTTGTTGGATGATTTGCATTTTACATTTCATGAGGATTTGATCTATTTGAGTGAAGGGGAAAAAGATCCACTGTTGATTGGATTGTTCAAATTTGGCTAAATTCTGCCACTAGATGTTGTTGCTGGAAGTGGCTGTGGTGGCACAGAATAGCAGGACGAGTTGTGCTACTGCAAGTGTGTATTCTGTGGGTGCTAGTCATGGCTGCTGCTTAAAAGGTTTTAAACCAGTGCAAAAGAGATGAAAATAAAATGGAAAAAGAAAATAGAAAGAGGGAAATGAATTTCTCAAAAATGCAAAACCATTTGGGCATTTTCACTAGATGCAGTTGCCAGAGGTTTGGAATTTTTTCGATCGGAGGTTGAAGACAAAGGGGTTAGGTGATGAAGAAAATGGCCAACGTATTCATCCACTAGGGTTCACGCTCTTTTTCGTCTTAGAAACTTGTTCAATCATCTTTCTATGATTTTGGGGTGTTTCGTCAATGTTTTGGTCAGATTAATGGTAAACCCACATGAATAGATGAAAATACCCATCCAATGTGTCTCCGATGGTGGTCAAATTTAAATTTCTTGGCTGTTCCATCACATGGGGACCAATTTGGTCCAAAAAATTTCATTGGAGGACCATAATGTCCCATTATTTAAGATGAAAGACCAAAGCTGGATTAGTGAATAAGTTGAAAGATGATTTAGGAGATTTGCTCATCAGATCACACTACAAGAAAAAGTGATTTAGTTTAGTGGCATTAAAGTAATAAATAGAATTTTCAATTGTAATGCTATGGTAAGATATTATAGTCCCATCTGCTGTTATTGTTTAGTAACACTTTACTAGTAAGTGCCACCAGATAATGACGTTTACCATATGCATATGGCTACAATACAGTAACTTTTAGTACCGCTTCGAAATTTACAATTGTGACTTACGTCCTGTTTGATAACTCAATTCAATAATTAAATTTAATAGATTCAGATCTTAGTATATTCACACTGTTTGATAATTAAAAATTGAATATCTGAATTAATTGAGTGGCACTGAATTTTCTAGACAAACTTATTCCCAAAATTAAGTGATGAATTCAAATATATTAGACTTAGTACTTAACAATTTAATAACTTAATGAATTCAGACTTCTAATTTCAAACTTCAGTTTTATTAAACGCACCTAAAACTAAAGTTTAAAAATCTGAAATCTAAAATTTGAATCCATTAAATTATTGAATTGTTAAGTATTAAATCTAATATATTTGCGTGTATATCACATTCAATAGTAAGTGAATAGTTTATCAATTAATTTTAGAAGTTAATTCTGCCTAAAAAATTCAATACTACTTAATTAATTCAGACGATCAATTATTGGTCATCAAACGGTTTGAATATATTAAGATATGAATTCATTAAATTTAAGTGTTAAATTGAGTTATCAAACAAGACCTTAGTGTTATGACCATGTCATGCCATTAAATTTAATAACTTTACATATATTCGGATGATACGTGACTTAACATTTTTTTAATAAACAAAAGATTTGAACACAGCCTCCTTCCTTCTTGGTAGATTTCGATTTGCCGTTCACGAATCCATTTTCGTGCAAACACAAATGGCATTAGTTCCCTTATATCTAGAGCTGTAAACGAACCGAATCGAACCAAGTATCTCATGTTTGAGCTCTGTTCGTTAAGCAGTTCGAACAACGTTCGTGTTCGTTCGTTAATTTTCGAACTCCAAACCTGTGTTCGTGTTCGGTTCGTTAAGTAAAATTCATGTTCGAGTTCGAGTTCGAGTTCGGCTCGTTTAACATAAACGAGCCGTTCGCGAACATGTTCGAAATGCTCGAATCCAAATTATTTTATGCCTTAAATATGCCATGCAAATTATTAATCATTCTAAAAAATAATTAAAGCACTAAATGACTAAATTCTATTATTCATTAACTATATAACTAACATTAACATAAAAACAACAAATAAAACAAAGAAATTTGCCCTCCAAATATAAAAGTCCAGCCATAAAATTAACCCTAAATTTGTTAAATGATAATTATGTCTATGTTCGCGAACGTTCGTTAAAACTCGCGAACATGTTCATGTTCGCGAACGTTCGTTTAGCATGTTCGCGAACGTTCGTTAAAACTCGTGAACATGCTCGTGTTCGCTCGATTATTAATCGAACAAAAAAATTCGTTCGAATTCGGTTCGTTTAAAATTTCGAACGAGCCTTTCACGAACACGAACGAGTCGAAACGAACCGAGTTACCGAACAACTCGGTTCGTTTAATAGCTCTACTTATATCAGACCCAAGTAGAAAGGTAGAAAGGTACTGGGAGTCAACAGCCGTTGATAATCCGTATTGTACAACTAGAACACGAAATCCAAGTAACGTGTGGCACGATCCCACGAAATCATGACATGATTTGACCAAAAGACCAAAAACAGCCCCTCAACTGTTTTACTAAGTCAAATTGGTCCCTCATTAATAATTTTGGCCAATTAGATCCTCCAACTATCTTCTTTGTTGCCAATTTAGTCCTTGTTTTTTCGCAATGGATTTTTTGTCCCACCCTTTATGTCACTCTCTGTTCA